GTCTAGTGAGGGTCTGCTTCCTGGTTCGTAGATGGCTGTGCCCTCACTCGGCAGAAGAGATAGGGTAGCTCTCTGGGGTCTCTTCTCTAAGGGCACTAATCTCATCTATGAGGGTGCCACCCTCATGACCCAGTCACCCCCCCAAAGGCAACACCTCAGCACACCACCACATTGGGGATTAGGTTTCACCATAGGAATTTTGGGTCCATTCAGTGCACAAACATGCAGCCCATAGCAGCATGCTTGATACACGGTTGGCTCTCAGGACTCGCCTGTCCTTTGGTCGTTTGGTGACCGGGTGTACCTTCCCTTCCTTCAGTCCCTCCCCTCCTACTTACTGCTCTCTCCCGCACTAGCATGAAAGAGGAAGGTGCGGGGGGCGCGGGTAGGGAGAAGCTGGACATGGGGGAGCTCGGGTTTTTCTATCTAGAAGTGAGGTCTGGGCATGGAGTCGAGGCATCACTTTACAGTGGGCGGAGGGAGCAGGGGCATGAGACAAGGGGGTAAAGTGTGAGAGCATCTTGGGGAGAAGCCAAATACCGAGACCTGTGTGATTCCCCAATAGGCTAGCAGTCTGGATGGGCCCAGGGATGCAGGCCACCAGGCCAAAGGTTAAGGAGAGGAAACTCAAGAGAGACCCTGCTGAGGTCAGGTTTTTGTGGTGGCCCCCGGGGACCTCCTGTGCTAGGGACGCTGTAGGGCGCAGAGGGGCCCTTACAGGTGCTGTAATCACCCGGAGCGTAGCCCCAGCTGCACTCTTCGAAGGTGTTGCCAATCCACCAGGGACAGGGAAGCAAAGGGCAGAGTGGAGGCCTTCGTGTGTTTCTAGATCCATGAGAGGTGCCCTGGTCAGGAACTGTCCATTTTTGTCCCCTCTCTAGCCTCACACAGACACCTCTAGAGAACTTAGCTGGATGCCTGGAGGAGGGCTTCCCAAGGCTGAAAATCAAGCTAAGATTTGCTTCCAGAACCTTACCATATTCCTCTAACAAAGCGCCCCCCTCAAGTGTACCCAGCCATCAGGAGTACGCTCCTCTGGTTATTCTCAGCAAACCACATGTGTGGGGCCAGAGCTCTGAAGGCAAGAGGCCAAGTGGCAAATCAAACTTCCTGCCAGGGAGGCCAGTTGAGCCAGCTGATGAGCTCTTTGCCTGGGACTGGCCGGGCTTGCCAAACAAAGGGCAGAGTCAGCTCTGAAATCCATCAGCAGGAAGTAAGACTTGCCTTCCTGCTGTCTTCACTCCAGAACATTCAGATCTATTTCCTTCCTGGTAATAATGGTAAGAGATCAGATCTAGTTAGCGTATCCTTTGAAGGACGGTGTTTGCTTCTGTGTCCAAGCCAACGACTCGACACAGGCAGATGCACACGCAGGCGCACACAGGCGTGTACACCCTGCATATGGGAAGCCTGGGGGACGCATTCTGCACTCCTAGAAATCAGAAAATGTTGGCTCATTGATGTTGTTAGGAACATTTTCATGTTGGCTCTTCATGAATTGCCACAGTCTGGATGGACATTGAGGGATGTGAGTTCTGGGCCCTCTTTGGCCACCACCCAGCGGTTGACCCAGCCCCTCTGGGCCTCAGTCTCCTCAGTATAGAAGGGACCCTGTGATCACTCGTAGCTCTAACATCCTCTGTTTCTAGCATCGATCTGCAAATCGAGCGGGCTGAAGCCATCTGAATTTGGATCTGGAGTGTTACATTTCCACTATGGAGGGAGGGATAAAGAGAAGAAATAGAACAAGTGCCTCTAAAAATTCATGACTTAAAATAACTCGCCTGAGTTGAAAGGGTGTTTCTGACTGCACACCTGTGGCACCAGAAGGCGTTGGGCTACTGCTTTGCCTGGAGACCCCCTCCGTGCTATTTCCTTGGTCCGGTCACAATTGGACATTTTGGGGAAAACCGACTAAGCGACGTGCTTGCGTCTTTTGATTTAAGAATCATGAATGCCTGTGCTGAAGTCTTTCCTGTCAGGTTTTGCTACAGATTTTCCCAGCCTGCCTTCTCAGTTCTCACTGCCCCGTCCTTCCTGTTGCATTTAAAGAGGAAAATCCCGGTAGGCCCCCGTGCAATCTTCTCTTAATCACTTGGGGGGCAGTCTGGAGCTGCACGGAACCCTGGCCCTGGTTTTTGTTTAGAATTACTTTCAAAGACCTCTTCTTTGAAAATGTGACATCATTTCTCATCTAAGGAGGCCAGAAGGCTAAGTTTGAGGGCATCAGAGAGTGAAGTCAGTCGAAGGGGGAGAAAAAAAAAAAAAACAACGAACCCAGGACAACCTGTAAACCCGTTCTGCCCATAAGCAAAGCTGGCCCGCAGCCACTGCTGATCAAGCCCGGTGGGTGCAAGACACACAGCACAGAGTGTTTCCTCCTTTCAAAACTGCCCCCACCTGCCTCCGCTACCACCGGGGCTCCTCATGACACCTCACACCTCTGCCTCCTGCCTCTGCCACAGTCAAGCACACACTTGCCATGACCACGTTTGTCACACGCTGTCTCTTAACCTAACACTTCCCGTCCTCTCTCTCGGTGCCCCTCTGCCCTGCCCGGTCACATTCTGTCAGTCTGCCCCATGCCAAATCTGACACAACACTGAGGGATTTTTTTCTTTGCACAGTAATCTTGGAAAACATGATGACTTGTAATTGTCTTTTTTTATTTGGGGCCCTGCGGTTTGAGGCAAGGTCGCTGGGGGAACAGGCTCGGCAAGGGGAGGCTCATGTGAAATTGGTTATAAAATGTTTCAAGCGAGCAGGAAGTGAGCAAGACATCCACTGGGTGGGCATCGTTGGGGCTTGGCCAGGAAGAACTAGGCCACAGGGTGCTGTCTGTGAATCAGAAGTTACTCTGATCCTGAGGTAAAGGAAGGTTAGTTGGCAGAGTTTCAACAATAACTTCATTAGGTAAACACACATCTGTCCCAGCTAATTCATACAAGGACAGAGAAGGGAGGCAGAAAAAGGAAGTTGGAGTGGAGAGCTGGAAGGGGCTGGCAGACGGGAAAGGGCCTTTCGCCAGTGGTTGGCCTGTGTGCAGGGGGAGGTGGCCCTTAGAGCATCTTTCTTTCTCTTTTTTATAATGAAGTTAGTCTGTACTCGGATAGGCAGTACCGAAACATATTAAGAAGGAAACACACACACCCACACATGCCCATAATCCTACACTAGTCAGGTATCACACTATAAATTTATTCCTTTCCAGTCTTTTTCTCTTTCTGTATATTTTGTAACATAGTTGATTCGAGCTCAGACTGTAGCTACAATTTGATACCCGTATTTTCTTCCCCCCCCCCTTTCACATGACACAGTTCCCTGTGCTTGCGTACACGCTGTGTGTGGTGTATGGCCGTGTGGTGGGCTGTCTTGCGGATGCTCTCTGGCAAGGCGGGTCCTTCACAGTGGTTAAGAGCAGACCTGTGGGCCAGACAGCATGGGGCTGGGCTCCCAGCCCCCACCCTATTTAATAGCCTGGTGACTTGGGGAAATGGCTTCATCTCTTTAAGCCTCAATTACTTCATCTGCAAAAGGGGCATAATAAGATCACTACTTCTAGGCTTGTCACAAAGATTCAACAGGGGCAGTGCTTCCTGACTCCCTCTGCGTATGAAACCACCTCCTCTCAAGAGGGAGGTAATACCACTGCCATTTTAAGGATGAGAAGCTTTAGCTGGGTCAGTTCACTTGCCCAGTGTCCACGGCTAAGAATTGAAAGAGCCAGCATTTGTAATCAGTCAGGCTCTGAAACCCCACCTCTCAGCCACCACACTACACTACTTACTCCAGGTAACTTGGCCACGTCACCCAGCTACTGAAGAGCAGAGGTGACATGTCACAGAATCCAGAGCCTACATGCTGTGATGCCTCCTGAGAAAGTTCTAGTACTAGAGCACAGGAGGAAATGATTTCAAGTAAAACCCGGAGAATATGAGACCCATAAAGAACTTTCTCAGGAGGCACCGGTGGGCCCCAGCGGGTAGGGGCCGGGGACTGCTGGGTGCTTTGGCTAGTCCTTGCGGTAATGTCAGAATGGTTCATTTCCAGAGTGCAGGAGAGAGTCTCTGGAGCTGTTTAAAAAGTCACTGGTGTGTGATGCCCAGAGAGGGTCAGGAGAAGCATCAGCAGCAACATGGATCAGATTCTCAAATCCTCCTGTTTCCATCTTTCCTGAATGATGTTGATGTTGAGATGGTTCTCTCCTCACCTCTGGCTCCCCTCTCCAAGTACGGTGGCCAAGAATTGTGCCCTGGCTGGATTCTTGGCCCCTGAATCATTTGCCAAGTGCAGCTTGACCATCTTCCTCCTACAGGCAATCCTGTGTGAGCAAGGAGAGGCCCTGGAACCGGTTGCATAGCGGCCTCGTCACCCACAGACTGACAGGCTGGGAGAGAAAAACAGACCACAGCCAACATGCAAAAATAATGCTCCATTCCACTTTCCAGGGTACAACTGGTCTGCGGGGGGCCTCGCGAATGGCCTGCCAGCCTTGGGGTCCGAAGGGGCTGAAGGTTTAGAACCCGCTGACTCCCAGCCACAGCATCCCCTTGGCCTGCTTTTGCTGAAGGTCCCCCGTCCAGAGCAGATCTGATTTCGAGCTGTCCCAATGACTCTCCTGAATCACTTGGTTATTCAGCAGATTAAATCTTAATTGCAAATGCGGTTTCGGTGTAGGAGGACCATCGTGCTTGCTGGTTTCAGGCCATTTTTGCTGAGCCGTGCTTTTCCAGAAGGCTGTTACAAATTTAGAAAGGGGGAAATGGTATTTCCTTTGTCCATCAGAGTTTTGTTTTGCAGACTGAATTTATTTTAGTGTTGGCTTAAAGGTGCCAAAACCTGACATCCCCGGAGAGAGAATTACCCAGTTTTTTGGAGAGCTCCTCTGGGCTGTCCAAACTACATCTAGAAAACAATGTCTATGGTCCTTGTGTGACAGGCCAACAATCTCGTTGGCTTGCCAACAATCTCATGTGTTATCATTTTGATTCATTTTTCAGAGACCCAAGAAGCCGCCTCCTCCGTCCGCTCCTGTCATCAAGCAAGGGGCAGGTAATGTGCTTCCGTTCTGGACACAACGTGTGTTTCTCTGTGTGTATTTACAGCACCCTCGGTAGAGCTCAGGGTTCGTAGGTTCAAATGCCACGGATCACCAAATTGGGAAGTTACCACTTGGTCTCAACAGGCAGATTTTAAATATACTGCTGTTTTTCCTAAAAATTAAGCATATCATTAAAATGTATCCCTGGATAGACACTGGGGAGGGCGTGTGCTCTGGTAAGCGCTGTGAATTGTGCAAGACTGTTGAATCTCAGATCTGTGCCTCTGAAACAAATAATGCAATATATGTTAAGAAAAAAAAAAAGAAGAAGAAGAAGAAGATAGCGGGAGGGAAGAATGAAGGGGGGGAAATCGGAGGGGTAGACGAACCATGAGAGACGATGGACTCTGAGAAACAAACTGAGGGTTCTAGAGGGGAGGGGGGTGGGAGGATGGGTTAGCCTGGTGGTGGGTATTGAGGAGGGCACGTTCTGCATGGAGCACTGGGTGTTATGCACAAGCAATGAATCATGGAACACTACATGTAAAACTAATGATGTAATGTATGGGGATTAACATAAGAATAAAAAAAAATGTATCCCTGGTACAGTGAAAAAATCTAGCCTCCCAGGTGAATGACCAGAAACACTTTGCTTTGGAGTAAACCAGTTTTGTTTTGTTTTTTTTTCTGTTGTATTTTTTGTATTTCTGATCAACTGCTTTTGAGGAAAGAAGAACTTAATTGTCCTGCTTTGCCCACACCCACCTAATCTCAAGGGTCAGCTTAGGGAGGATTGCTTCCCACGGGTCATAGCCTCACCACGCATGTACAGTGGTGCTGAATTTTTAACCAAAAAAAAAAAAAAAGAATGTGTGGTTAACCAAAATTTGTACTTACTTCACTTACACCCCCCCAACAAAAAATGTTATTCTAGCAATAAATACTTTTCCTCGTGATACTTTTTTCATCTTAAAAAGAGTCCAGTTCACTTTTTCTGTGTAGTTCAGACATTAAGGTTGAATAATATAGGAAGATGTGATGTGGTTGGACATTTGGTAACTCATTGCGCACAGGGTTCTCATACCTAAAAATGATCATTCATATTTCCCCATAGAGCTCCTCTTTATAATTGTTAAGAACTAATTATGGGGAGAAATTCCTCCATGAATAACTAGTTAAGTGGCATTTTAACAAATTAACAACTAAAACAGAAGAAGAGTAGGGGTATTTTTAGTTCCGCACATGAATAACTATGATATTTCTATAGCATTTAAAGTATGAATAAATTTCCGGATTGGTTTATTCACAAATTTATTAAGGAGTGATTTTTTTTTAAGGTTTTTTTTAGCCCACCGAGTTGAGGGGGAAATCAGCTTGACCCCAAATTCCTTTCCCATTCCCTTTAGGATAGTTGAGAATTACGAAGATTAAGACCCGAAATGATGTGTTAATTACATCTCCTGCTCCGCCCCCATTGTCGTTTGCATTGAGCAGTTTAATTTTGCCACCTAGTGGTTCACACCGGATCAATATTTTGTTGTGCTGAAATTAAAGCTGGCTATTGTTTTGCTTTTCTCTGACAACCCTTTTCCTGGAGGCCTTGGTGATGGATTACAGACCAAGGAGATGAGCTGAGTGGCCCAAGGCTCAAGAAGCCTAGAATGTAACTAGGATTGGATTCTTCATGGTAGTAGGATCTGTCAGTTCCTCCTGCATCGCTAGGGATGATGAGGAACATCTTTGTTATCATTAGAAGCCTAGACTGTAGCATGCTAGGCAAATTCTTTTCCTTTTAAAGCAATTTTATGAAAGGTTATGCTGGATCTCTGTGGGGCAGAGCAAGATGGCATTTAATTTTCCTAGATTCCTACTGCTCATTTATCCTGCTGAATGATCCTGGGAATTGCTCTGTGACAGGGAGGTAGATATTTGTATTTTCCCTATCATCAGCTTTCCTCGTGTTTGATTATTTGACAAAAAAAAAAAAAAACAGATATGGAATTGACAGAAATTAGATACAGTGTTTAATTTGTAGTGAGTCATTAAGGAGATTTTGGTAAAGTGTGTTCAGTGGATTTTTTTTTTTTTTTAGTTCCTTTGGCTTCTGATGCTATGAAATTGAGATTTTATTTTATTTTTAAAGATTTTATTTATTTATTTGACAGAGAGATGGAGAGAGAGCACAAGTAGGCAGAAAGGCAGGCAGAAGGAGAGGGAGAAGCAGGTTTCCTGCCAAGCAGGGAGCCTGATGCGGGGCTTGATCCCAGGACCCTGGGATCATGACCTGAACGGAAGGCAGACGCTTAACCGACTGAGCCACCCAGGCGCCCCTGAAATTGAGATTTTAGTACCAAGCACCATCCGTAGGGATGGACAGTAAGGAATTCGTCGAGCACTCAAGCAAGTCCCTAGGTGTGAGGAGTACTTGTGATTGGTTTTATGCTTTAGCTATTTTCCAAGTGTTCTTATGCACCTGAGGCCACGAGCACTGCTGAAGACCCCAGGTGAGGAGGGAGCAGCTGCAGTCGACACGGCCATGTGGGTGTATCTGGGGAAATGTCATATGTAATGTTTGAGGGATTCAGGCGTAGATTGACTGGACTGAGGGAGAACCACAGATCTTCTTTGTACATCCCTCCACTTAAAAATAGGCTCTAGTTACTATTGCTGCATAACAAACCAACCCAAACCTGGTGGCAGAAAACAAGGATATTCTTATGCCCACGACTTCTGGGGTCAGGAATTTGAACAGGGCCTGGCCAGGACATCTTGTCTCTCTGCTCCTTGATATTTGGGACCTCAGCTGAGAATGCTGTCCAGCAGAGGCTGGAGGACCCACTTTGGAGATGGCTGCTTTGCTTTCATGTCTTCGCTTCCCTTGGCAGGAGTGGCTGGAGGGCTGGCTCAGTGGGGGCCGTAGGCCAGAGTGTCTACACATGGCCTCTTCAGGAGGCCTCAGGGTTCTGGACTTCTCACATGGAGGTTCAGTATTCCAGAAAATAAAGCATAAGTGACACAGTCTTTTATGACACAGCCTTGGAAATTATATGGTATCATATTGGCCCCTGGTTGAAGCAGTCACAAGCCTACCCACATTCCAGACAGGGGACATAGACCTCCCCTCTTAATGGGAAGGGTAGCAAACAATTTGAGGCCATATTTTAAAACTGCTACAACATAGACTCCAGGTCCCTGTGAAATTTCTTCTTCTTTGTAGAGCAATAGCCAGTGACCCGTTATTTGTATATTTTGGTGATTGACTTGTTTATACATATTTTCCACCCACACCCAGTGATTTCCTGTTTTGATGTCTAAGGAAGTCAGATTTAAATATCAGAAAACATTAATGGATTTCTTGTAAATTAAGGATGTATAGGCAGGCAAACTTAATGACAAAGGCCAGAAATGGCTTCTGCTGTTTCTAAGCGGCTTCTATTTGCCAGGCAATACCAGCGCTCAGCTTAGGGGGAGAAAAGTCTATTGACTTTGCTGTACCTGATAAATATTTAAAATGCTGGTGTGTCTAATAAATGGATAGAGAAAACATGTTCTGATCACTGTTATCCTTTCCCCCTTAGGTACCACTGAGAGAAAACATGAAATTAAAAAGATACCTCCTGAAAGACCAGAAACGCTTCCAAACAGAACAGAAGAGAAAGGTATGAAATCAAGTCTTCCCTGGTACTGATCGAGCAGCAGGAGACAAAGCGGCGGTCATAGGGCTGATTACCCACAGAGTTTGGTTTTTGGGGGGAATATGGTGATTATGGTTTTATTTTGGTTGCTTTTAAGTATCCCATTTCTAAGGAAATAGGAGAGAGGGTTATGTGGTGCCTCTTTGGGCCAGAATTCCTCACCAAATGTAAAACAACGAGCCCGGTCTCTTCACACATTGGGGTTCTTCCATCCCGGTCTTCTTGCCATTGCCGCCCTCCCTACACCAGGGGCATCCTGAAGTCAGGGTGCCGACTGGAAGTTTCCCGAGGGCCTGGATGTATTCGCCACAGTTTCCATCCCGCCCTCTCCCATGCCTCGTGCCCCAGGGCGCTTATTAACTGTTCTCGGGTCGATGTGACTGAGAGAAATTCCCATCCGGACAAATGAAAGCCATCATCCTCGGCCACTGCTGGACTTTGGACTCTGGCTACTACGTCACAGACACATGTCCACGGTCAGGAGTATCACCTGAAGGGAAGTAGCCTCTCCTGTCTCACACAGTCAGCTTTACAAATGTGTTTGACTCCTACTGTTCTGAGTCTGTCGCCCAAAGAAATCTACACGCTGTGGAAGGACTCATTTTGTTAGGTGTCTAAGATTTGATTGATCACACATTTTACGGGAAAAGTGCTTTGTTATTGTTATGAGCAGGAGGCAGAGCAAATCCCATTTTAAAAAGCAGTTATTTGGAAGTCACAAGAGAAATGCAGAATTAATGCATGTAATTATTTGGAGGTGCTCCTGGGTGGCCTCATGAAATTTTATTGTGAAATTTAATATTTTTTATCAGCCTGCCAGAAGTTTTACCAACATTGCCAGCTCTTAAGAAGTTATATCTCTTTTCTCTCACAGTGAATACTTAACATTTGAGTTGTGGAACCTCATTGAAAGGCCAGGTCTGTGTGTCCCAGAGCAGTGTGTGTGTGTGTGTGTGTGTGTAACCTCATTGAAAGGCCAGGTCTGTGTCCCAGAGCAGTGTGTGTGTGTGTGTGTGTGTGTGTGTGTGTGTGTGTGACACAAACAGCCCTTTGAGGAGAATGTGTGCTGTGACATAACCAAACACTGCCCCCTGTCCACACGGAGGACACATGACTAGTTTCTGGCTGACAGCCAGGCTCCGTCATAAGGACACTTCCAGCTCTGTTCCATGCTGACTAACATAAGGACTCGGTTTACATGTGAACAACTGCCCTAGTTGCCTGGCCAAGTGGCCACACACTTCTGGTTCCTTCCACTCCTATGGTTCCTTGTTCAGTGCCACAGTGGGTCTGGAAGGCAGAAACCCTGGTCAGAAGCAACGGGAGCCAAGAGAGCCAGCCCCACCCTGAGACTTGGCCTCCCTGTGAGGTGGGCACAAACCCCCCTCCCATTTGTTCTGCGCACTGCCAGAGAGCCCCCCCAGGCCCTCCCAGCAGGAGGAATCTCCCCTCCTTTGCATTTCAGCCAAGCCCTTCCTCCTCTGGTCCCCGTGGACAGTAAATGAGTTCCTAGGATCCCTGGATGGAGCAGATTCCCCTACTGAAGTGCGGGGATGAGCACAGTGATATCTGTATAGCAACTGGTGGGCTTTTTAATGCTTTGCCAATCAGCCAGGGCACCTGAACAATATGAGTGTGTGTTTGCAAGCAAAACGTGTTCAGAGTTTCAGCTTACAAGTGAACATAGGGAACCTGCCTGTCCTCCAGTGGGCAGCTCTCTGAAGTTCCATCTTTATAAAGAAGAATGTGGATGCGTGCTTTTTACACTACACGTGGGGCAAGGCTACTTGGGGGCAGAAAACACGAAGCTGTCAGTCACGCCACTGCTCAGTTGGCCACCAGATCTGACTTTAACTTCATTCTAATAGCTGACTCCAAAAACCCTTAGAAACCAAATACCTGTGAAACCCTAGTTTAACTGTGCACAAAAAGAATCCAGAATTAGTTCTTTGTTCCTGGAAATGCCCCCCCCCCTTTTACTGGCTCATGGCCCTTTACGCAGGCTGACCTGAGAGACATCAGGCCTCTTGCCTCCTCACACCCAGTCCTATGGGTCCTTGACCAAACTCATCATCCATTTGCTGAGCATCTGCTATGCGCCAGGCACCAGGTAGGATCTAGAGAGATGACCAGACGTGGGCTCTGCCCTGGGGGGCTGACGGCCTACAGGCTCCGCCAGGCATGCACACACCCAGAAAGTAGCCAAGTGGAGCCCGTTTATAAAGGGCTGCTCTTCTGGGCTCAGGTGAGGAAGTAAGGTAGTCTGCCTCTGAGGGTGGTTTCGGCTGTTGAGAAGGGAATGTGACTGGGTCACCATTCAGCCAAGCCGATGAGTAGGATCACGATGAGCCTGAGAAAGGATCAGCAGGAGTTCACCAAGGGTGGGCAGTGGCCAGAAGGGCCCTCCAGGCCAGCACGGGCAAAGGCCAATGGTGGGCTGCAGCTGTGGAGGGGTTTTTCCTAACTTGACAAAAAATAAACAAGGCTCTAAAAATACATAAATAAATAAAAATTAAAAAAAATAAACAGTGCTCCTCACCCTCCACCTTCACCTTTGCAAGCAGCATCAGTGATTTTTTTTAAAACAGGAAACGAGCCATCTGCCCCTGAGTACTGTCACTTACACTAGATCTCTCTGTCTTCTCTATGCTTTTTAAACAATGACTTAAAGAAAGACCAGAGAGAGAGCCAAAACTGGATTTACAGAAGCCCTCCGTTCCTGCCATACCACCCAAAAAGCCGCGGCCACCCAAGACCAATTCTCTCAGCAGACCGGGTGCGTTGCCCCCCAGGAGGCCTGAACGACCAGTGGGTCCCCTGACCCACACCAGGTACTGCTCTGCTCTTGCCACTGGGGGTGGGTGAGGGTTGGCCGTGCAACACAGGAGAGGGGCCTCGAGTGCGGCCAGCTGAGGGAGGGGGGGGACAAAGCTGCCCTTCCACCTTCTAGCAAAGCTGTCTCAAGACTCCGGCTGCTTCTGTTCTTACTCCTGTGCTTGGGCAGAAGCGGGTGCGAGGCTGGGAGGCGCAGTGCGGGTTTTAGAATGAGCAGACGGGGATCAGGTATCCAGCATGTAGGCTCCGCTCACACGGAGGGATTTTCCCTGCACTTCTTTAGGGCACACCAGCTGCCCCCTACACTGGAAATGCGGGTATCCCACTCCCCCATCCCCTGGATGTCCCCCTGGCCTCGGGTGTGCACATCTCACTGGGCGCTCCATGCCCTGACCCTCTCCCTGCTGTGTGGTGCCTCTTTCCCCAGCCCCAGGCTCCCTTGGCCCTGGACTGCACAGCCCTCTTGTGGAACCGAGGACCCGGCATGGCAGATACTGTCTTAGTGTACATGTCTCCGAACTATGAGACCCTCAAAGGCAGGGGACGTGCTTTGTTCAGGCAGTAGTTCTGAGGTGTGCCTGGCACAACTCACATTTGTTCACTGGCTGGCTGGGCACACGTGTCAGGAACGGGGAGTCAGGTTGGACGTTGTGCTTCCAGACCCGAGCTGCCCACCATGGAGCAAAGAAGTGTTGTGTTCTCTCCACGAGTTAATTGCCAGAACTTTCTACTGTCACGTGTGTGTTATGTGTGTTGGTGTCATACACCAGAGCAAGCTGTTGGCCTGGAGGTCTTCACATGTACCTGTCAACACACAGTCACTCACCAGATTTTTGTTCTTTTGAGCCAAGTTTGCATGGTGAGAGTCACATGGGGCTTCAGCGCCCTCCTGTTGGAGTCAGGCAGGCTTCCTGGTTTGCATCTCATCTTGCCTCATATGTGTGCGGGCCTCAGAATGTCACTGCCCCTCTCCACCTCACTTTTTCTGTCTATAAATTGAGGATGATAATGGAATGCACCCAAAAGGATGGAACAAGATAACTCCCAAGTGTACAACCCCATGCTTGTAAATCAACATTAGTTTCATTGTCATTTATATTTTTTTAAGATTTTATTTTTAAGTAATCTCTATACCCTTGGGGGCACCTGGGTGGCTCAGATGGTTAAGCATCTGCCTTCGGCTCAGGTCATGATCCCAGGGTCCTGGGATCGAGCCCCACATCGGGCTCTGTGCTCAG